CTCTCTCTCTCTCTCTCTCTCTCTCTCTCTCCTTGCTCTCCCTTCCTTTCCTCCCCTCTCACACCTCCCCCTCAAAGAGAAAGAAAAATTAGGGGGGGGGGGGGAATATATATATATATATATATAGCCTAGCATGACGACACTCGATGCTCAAAATCTTAGCACAATAGTTTAGAAATTTCAAACTTTTTAGATAAATCTATTTAGAAATCTAGGTTGTTACAACTTCTCTGTTGAAATAATTTTATTAATGTGAGTCAAACATGACAAATGGCTGGTTTTATTCTTCAAAACTAAAGAAAATGTTGATAGAAAATAATATGGTTCAAAGGCATTTGGTTATTTGCAAAAAGTCGAGTTTGAGAAGCTAGGTGTCCAATTTTTGTTCCCATTGCAAGATCCATGGGCATGTCATTTTCGATTGTTTTAAATTATATCCTGACCTGAAAAAAATGGCGAAACCTACGACTGAGATAGTTGATTCTCATGTTATTTCTATTTCTAATAATGTGCTGGATAAACCTTTGTCAAATGTTGTTATTGAAAACCAGGTGGAGGCGGTGCCTAGCCTTGTTGTGCTAGAAAACAGAGGAGAATTCGTTGCTAATAGCGAAGGTAAGAATTTGTGTAATGATAGTGAGAAACTTCCTTATATTTTTGTCTCTATTGATTCTATGTTAAACAACTCTACTGATGTTCCTATAGTGGCTATCAATCCCTTACTATTACATATAAGTGCATGGTAACATGAACTAGAAGTTTCCCACTTCTATCCCTATATATGCTAGTTTATTTTGTACGAGCTTCTTGTCTATGCTCGCAGGATAACTATTATGGGTACTATGAATTCTCTATTCCCATTTATATATGAAATGTAGTGTGCCATGTTAAATTCTACAAACTCCTTGAGAGATGATAAATCAGGATATATGTCCATCTATAGAAATAATATCTAATCCAATCTCTACATAACAAAGGGTTTCCAAAGAACTTTCATAAGGGAACCTAGAGATGTTCTTTGTTAAAGGACATCAAATGATAATTAATTATCAAATGTTCTATTGTATATGTTTCCTAAACTCAGATTACGTAAGATATATTAAACCCTATAGACATAAAGGTTATTCAACCCAAAAAGATTCATTATTCATGCTCTTAATCATAATCATTGAAGTAATTAAATACTAATTGCCTCCAAATTACTTGTGTATCCATTAATATTTTGTAATATTACTGATCATTTCCAATATGAGAGGTTCATGATATGATTGCATGACAACCATATTGGTTTCAAAATTGATTGGCTCAGAGTAGTACTCATCATCCAACCATTCATGGAGATGTATTTTAAGACTATTCTTATAAGCAAATTTAGTTATTATTTTAGATTCTAATATTAATGAGAATTGTGAAGAAGGGGAGTTTATCCCTATTGAAAACAAGAAGGATAAATTGGTGCAAAATCTGGAATGTGGTAGTTCTGTGCCTTTGGATTTAGAAGGTTCTAAATCTAAAAAATTGGCTGTGGATGATTCTTTTCTTAAGAGTCTGGAGGAGGAGCATTTTACTAAAGTTAATAAGAAAAAAGGTAAAAAATCTAAAGAATCTTTATCCTCTATGCCGTTTTCTACTAGAGCTCAAACTAGTGCTAAAGGTTCTCATGGTTAAGTCCCTTATTTGGAATGTTAAAGGTATTGGTGGGAAGGATTCGAAAACTAGAGTTAAGAATATTTGTAGGATTCATAATATTCAACTTTTGGTGTTACTTGAACCGTTGATTGCTATAAGTAAACTTGATAATACTGCTTCTAAGTTAGGTTTCTCTAATAAATTTGCTAATTGTTCTAATAAGATTTGGATTTTGAGGAATAATGCTATCAAGGTGAATATTGTGGAGGACTTTGTTCAAGTTGTGCATGTTTCTATTTCTATGTTTAATTTTGACTGTAATGCCTCTTTTGTTGATGTTGCTTGCTCTAGAGTGGGTCGGTTTGCCCTTTGGGGCCAGCTTAAGAATTTTGTTTCTAATTATATGGGTCCGTGGTGTGTTGGAGGTGATTTCAACGTTATTTCTAATGCTAGTAAAAGATTGGGAGGTAATCATCCAAATATTAATGCTATGGAGGATTTTAACTCCATGATCTCTACTTGTGATTTACATGATATAGGTTTTTTTTGGTAATGCTTATAGTTGGAGTAGAGGTAACTTGTGGCAAAGTCTTGATAAAGTTTTATTTAATAATGATTGGATTGCTAAATTCCATATGACTCATGTGGAGCATCTTAGTAGGACTGCTTCTGATCATGCTTCTTTACTGCTTTTTATCAATGCCAATAAAGATTTTTTTCCTACTACCTTTAAATTTCAAAATATGTGGCTTTCCCATCATGATTTTTTTAATGTTTTTGAGAGAAATTGGCAGTCTCCTTTATTTCCTATTGGCAATATTTCGGGTATGGCTTAGCTGTGGAGCAAGCTTAGCAGGCTGAAATAGGTTATGAGATGGTGGAACAAGCATACTTTTAAAAATATATTTGATAATATTAAAAATGCTGAACATAAGGTGATGGAGCTTGAAAAGGTTTATCAGCTTAACCCCGATAGTTCTAATCTTTCTGATCTTAATGTTGCTAAGATCAATTTGTTTACTTTACAAGGATAGGAAGAGATCTATTGGCACCAAAAAGCTACGACCAAATTTACTAATGATGGTGATAGGAACACCAAGTTTTTTCATGCTTTGGCTAAAAAGAAAAAAATTAGGAACCATATTTTCAAAATCACTAGTGATGATGGGAGGGTTTTGGATGAGGATTCTATTTTAAACTCTGATGTAGATCACTTTAAAAATATTTTTAATAGTGGTTTCCAACCGACTCCTATTGTTAATCCTCATATTGTCCCATGTTGTATTTCGGAGGCTGATAATTTCCAACTCACTCTTGCTTCATCTGAGGAGGAGGTTTGGAAGGTTATGCAGGAGATGAATATTGATTATGTTGCTGGTCCTGATGGATTTACTACTAAGTTTTTCATTAAGACTTGGCACATCACTAAGGGGGATATTATGGAGGCTGTCTCTGAGTTTTTTTCGGGTAAACCGTACATTAAATTCTTCTCTTCTACTAACATTATTTTAATTCCTAAGAAGGATGCTACCAAAAACTGGAATGATTTTAGACCGATTAGTTTATGCTCTTTTTTTAATAAGCTTATTTCTAAGGTCATTGCTACAAGACTTATTAATATCCTTCCTAGAATTATATCTCATAACCAAATTGGCTTTGTGAAAGGTTATAGCATTTTTGATAATGGTTTACTTGCCCAAGAGATTATTCATGATATCAATGCTAAAGTGAAAGGTGGGAACATTATTTTGAAATTGGACATTACTAAGGCTTATGATAACCTATGTTGGGACTTTTTATATAAAGTGTTGTCTTTATTTGGTTTTAACCAAGCTTTCATTTTTTTGATCAAAAACAGTATTGAGCATTATTTCTTTTCTGTTATTATTAATGGTAGAAGTAATGGTTTTTTTAATTCCTGTTAAGGTTTGCGTCAAGGAGATCCTCTTTCCCCTGCCTTGTTCATTATAGATGTTGACTATTTATCTAGGGGTTTAGAGGTTCTTTATAAAAGGCATCCTAATTTGCTTTACCGCACTATGGGTGGTATCCCTATAACTCACCTTAGCTTTGTCGATGATTTCATTATTTTTGCTAATAGTTCTCTTACTAATATTAAGTTTCTTGTCAAGCATTTAGATGAGTTTTAGAATATGAGTGGGCTGTCTATTAACAAGAATAAAAGTACGTTTATTGTTTCTAAATCTACTAGTGAAGGTAGAATCAATGATATCAAAAGGATTTGTGGTTTCAATTGCTCTTCTTTGCTTATTAAATATTTAGGGACCCCTATTTTCAAGGGGAGAAAAAAAGCATGATCTTTGAGGATATTGTTACAATTTTTCAAAGCAAAATCTCTAATTGGTCCTCAAATTTTCTTTTGTTTGGTGGTAGACTTGTGCTTATTAAACACGTTTTAAATTCTATCCCTATTTATATTTTTCATACTCTTAACCCGTCTCCTTCTATTTGTCTTAAATTGGAAAGATTAATCAATAAATTTTTTTGGAGAGCCAAGAATAATAGATCTTGTATTCTTTGGTCTTCCTGGCATAAAATGTGTGGCACTTTTAATGAGGGTGGTTTAGGCTGTAAGAATGTTTTGGATATGGTTAGGGCTTTCTCTTACAAACTTTGGTTTTCTTTTAGATCTAAAGTTAGCTTATGGGCTAATTTCATGTATGCTAAGTATTGTAAAGAGGGACATCCTACTTTATGTAATTTTAAAAGAACTGAATCCTCTGCTTCGAAGCGGTTATGTAATATCAGTTGGGAGGCGGAGCCTTTTATCTAATGGGGTTTGGGAAAAGGAGACGTTTACTTTTGGCAGGACAATTGGCTTGGGCCGGGATCTATTGACAGTATGCTCTCTTCTCATACTCTTGTTTCTGCTAAGGTGAGCTATTATTTTGATAATGGTAATTGGAATGTTAATAAACTGATACAAATCTTACCTGAGGAAATTTTGCATCTTGTTTTGAACATACCGTTAAATATTTTTTAGGCTGACCGTATCCTTTTTAACAGTTCTACCAATGGTCTTTTTAAAGTTAAAAATGTGTGGGAGGTTTTTAGAAGTAAGAAGGAGATTTCAAACGTTTATGGTTCTATTTGGCACATTAGTATCCCCTCTTCTTATTCTATTCTTGCTTGGAGATGTATGAAAGGTTTTTTACCAGTAGATGCTCATCTTTGGAACAAAGGTTTTTACCTCCCTTTTAAATGCTATTACTGTTCTAATTTTGAGTGTATTAATCATGTGTTTCTTCATGGTAAAATTGCTCAAAGTGTGTGGAGTCATTATGCTATCATTGTTAACAAATCTATTCATGTTTTTGATCCTATGTTGATTAATAGTATTCAGGTTTTTTTAACTGATTGGATGTCCACGATTAAAGGTCATGTTATTAACTTGTTACCCATTCTTATTTTGTGGTTCCTTTGGAAAGCCCGCAATGTGGCTAAACATAATGGTAGCAAGATGAAGGATAACAATATTATTTCCAATATTAATCATAAATTGCTTCAACTTTATGTTGTCAAGCTTATTTCGAGAAAAAGTTTTATTAACTATGAGTCTCTGTGTGTGAATCTCGGTATCCCTATTCAAATGGAGAATTTGATTAGAAGGGAAATGATTGTTAGATGGGTTTAACCGTTACCTCCTTATTTGAAGCTGAATACTGATGGTTCTATTGATAGTTCTTGTGCTGGTTTTGGGAGTATTATTCGTGACAATGTTGGTGAAGTGATTGTGGCTTATGCGGGCCCTTTATCTCCGTGTAAGGTCATTTTTGCTGAACTTATGGGTGTACTTAAAGGTCTTTTAATTTGTAATAATAGGGGTTTTATTAATATTGAGATTGAGGTGGATGTTTTAAGTTTAATTCATATTATCAAGAATGTGGATGTGTTTTCTCCTCAGTTTTTTTATATTATTAGGAAAATTCGTTTGGCCCTTTCTACGCTTAACTTTTCTATAAAACATGTTTTAAGAGAGGGCAATGCGTGTGCTGATTACTTGACTAAACTTGGTAGTAGGTTGGAGGTGGAAAGGGAATTTGATTTTGTTAATGTACCTCATAACTTGAAGGGGTTGGTTAATCTGGATAAGATTGGCCTGCCTTATATTAGAACTAGATGATTTTTGTTGGCAATTTTATATGTTTTGGTTTTTTGAGGTCTTCTGTTTTGTGCCGTTTTACTTGATGCTCCTCTGGGGTTCTCATCTATTTGACTTCTTTTCTGGGCTGTCTGGGCAGGGGAGTACTGTTTTCTTTGCCTGGGGTTGTCAATTTTGGCCACCTGACGATCTGTTTTATGGACGGTTTTTTTACTGTTTTTATTGAGTTTATGTCTAGTTAGTTACGGGTGGATTCTGCTTTTAGTTAGGATGTTTATTTATTGGTGGAGCTGTATCGGTGCTGGTATTTTGTACATGATCTCTCTTAGCTATTGTTTTACTGCTAATTGTTGCATTTCTTCTTGGAATTTTAGGCTGCAGTGGCACCGGAGTTTTTTTGTTATGAGGTTCTTATTTATCTTTATTGTTGCGGATTTTAGTAATATGTATTTGTATTCTGGTAAGTGCTGGAGGTTATCTTGTTTTGGCTGGGATATTCTGGAGTTGTTTTTTGGTGAGAGCTTTAGTTCTCTTTTTAATTATAAGAGCTTTTATATTGTTAGTTTTAACTACTATATGTATAATCCTTTTTTTGGGAGAGTACCTTGCAGGGATAAATCTTGTTTTGAGAGCTTCAATGTGAGCAAGGTAGTTCGTTTTTGGTTATTCTATTTGCTACACTATTTTGTTCTTCAATTTTGCAGGAGGGATGTGCTAAACGAGATATATCTGACCTTCCTTTTTTGGGCGCTGTATGCTCACAGCCCGAGTTACTTTTTAGATCCCTATTGTAATCTTAGAACAAGGAACCACCGGCTCGTAGGTTTTCTTTTTTTTTTTTTCTTGTAGCTCTTTTGAGCATTAGAGAGCTGGAGGATCCTTCTAAGGACGGTGTAACCAAAATTTTGAAATTAACACGTAGGCCCCTCAGTGGGTTTTAACAAAAAAAAAAAGTTGTTATTGAATTGTTTTAGCAAATATTACTTCTAGTCTTCATTTCGCCACTCCATTAGTATAAATATCCGAACGGCCGATGAACTTCTACGCAATCCAATAACTGCATGCATCGCTCCTTCTTCTGATCTCTCTCTCTAGAATGGCGTTAGAACAAGGCCAATTTTCGGCGAACGAAAGTTTGTCAGAGAAGTTTCTGGCCCAACACAAGGAGAAGCATTTCACCGCCGGTGAAATTGTCCGCGACGTCATCATCGGCGTCTCTGATGGCCTTACTGTCCCCTTCGCCCTCGCCGCCGGTCTGTCCGGCGCCGCCGCACCTTCCTCTCTCATCCTCACCGCCGGACTCGCCGAGGTCGCCGCCGGCGCCATCTCCATGGGACTCGGCGGGTACGCTTCCGCCTCCCTCCCGCTTGCCGGTTATCTCACCCTTCAGATCTAAGGTTTCCTCCGCTTAAGAATTTTGAATCGTCACGTGGCAGGTATCTAGCGGCGAAGAGCGAGGCGGACCATTACTGGCGCGAATACAAGCGGGAGCAGGAGGAGATCGTTAGTGTTCCTGACACTGGTGCGTGTGCCGTTGTTGCCCTAATGCTCCGGCGCCATAGTTACCGTCACTTTGGATCTGATGTGTCTTATGTTTGCTTCATGGCAGAGGAAGCTGAAGTATGCGAGATACTCGCGGAGTATGGTCTGCAGCCCCACGAGTACGCCCCCCTAGTTGCAGCGCTCCGCAGGAATCCTCAAGCCTGGCTGGACTTTATGATGAAGTGAGTAATTTTTCAACTTAAATATTCTTAATAAATCCCCATACTTTTTTTATTATAGTGCTATAAATAGTAGGGCTGCAAATGAACCGAGCATTCGATGAATTATTCGTGGCTCGGCTTGGTAAGAGTTCGTTTATGTTCGTTTGATGATGTAAATGAACAAGTTTGAACAACTTTGACAGTACTCGATAGCTAAATAAACAATCTTGAACACCCTGACATTCGACTCGTTTATGATCACGAACAAGATTGTTTAGAGCTTGCGAACATGCTCGTTAAGAAACTCGATTAAAAAGTTCATGTCTTATTTAATTAAAAATAAATATTTAACTATTATATCTTATTTAACTAATAAAATAATTAAATCTAAGATTATATATATTATTATTGTTGATGTATAAAAAACAAAACAAAAAAATATTTTACTTAAAGAGCCACCGTGACCCAAGCAAAAACAAAAAAATTATTGATGCCTGCTTCTCTCTCTCCTCCGTGACCCAAGAAAAAAAAAAATGCTAAAGAGAGTTTAGTCCACACTGCCTGGAAATCATGGAAATGCATGATGTTACTGTATAAAAGAAAATATGTGGTTATTTGTAGTTGAAAATTGGGTAGTAGAGAAACTAGAGGGTTGGGTTAGATAGTGGAATATTATTTGTGCTGGTTAGTGTTGGATGTTTGGCTCAGCTTGGTTTGATTAAAAAAAAGATTTTTTGTGAATTTTGAGCGTGCTCAGCTCGGTTAAACGAGCTGCTTGATAAGGCCCGATTAACTTGAAAATAAATGAGCTCAAATTGAACACGAGCCGAGTTTGAATATGTTGGCTTTAAACGAGCTCAAACTCGAATAACAGTCCAAGATGCTTGAAGAGCTTGAAGCACATCTTGACGAGCTTGAAGCCGACAGATCTAATAAAATGAGCGAGCTGAGTAGAATAGAATAGAATTAAATTTGTTTAGTTTGTACTTTGTACTCTAGGCCCGAGCACTGTCTGCCTAGCTATGAGATTCAAATTCTGTTCTTTGGAAAAGTTTTCATAAACCCATTCACTCAGATGCAAAGAAAAATAAATTGTAATTGTTACTATTTTATACTATTTTATATTTAAATTAGTATTATACTAAAATTAAAATTAATAATCAATTTTAAATTAGAAAAAGTAAAATTAATAATTAATTATAAAATGAAAATTTATAAATAATTATAATAAAATATTAAAATTAATTATTAATTAAAATACATCATTGACTTATTAATTAATTAAAATATATTATTAAATTAATAATTAATTAAAATAAACTACTAAAATTACTAATTATTTAAAATATGCAGGAAAAGCTATAAATTCATCAGAAATTTCGTCCGTAATGAATGATTAACCTCGATTTTTAAGCTTGATTTTTTTTATTTTATTTTTTTTACAATTTAAACTTTTAATACAAAATTTGTTTTAAAAGTTAAAATATATTATATAATATGAATTTGAATTAATATTTAAATATATTTCAAATTAATCAAACAGCTTAGCATGCATATGAGCTGAGCCAGTTGTTTGAGCTCGTTTAATATCCTACCTCAAGTACAAGTTCGACTCTTGAGCAGGAGCGAGAGCCCTAGCTTTAATATAGGCGGAGGATATATGGTTCTAATAAAGCATAAGCAAGTTTTGAACTGATTTATTATATTTTTCAAACGTTCAGATTTGAGCTGGGATTAGAGAAGCCAGAGCCAAAGAGGGCACTGGAGAGCGCCATGACAATCGCCTTCTCCTACATTGCAGGTGGGTTGGTGCCGCTGCTTCCTTACATGTTCATCTCCACTGCTCAGAAGGCAATGTTCATATCTGTTCTTGTCACTATTGCTGCGCTCCTTTTCTTTGGCTACGTCAAAGGCCATTTCACAGGCAACCGCCCGCTCTATAGCGCTTTCCAGACAGCTTTTATCGGCGCGATCGCGTCTGCTGCCGCATTTGGGATGGCGAAGGCCGTGCAGGCCCTCTGAGTTGGGACTGATAAGGAGTGTGGCGCAAACGCTGAATATGAGAAGTTTTGTGTTCTCTTGCATGCTTGCTTTATGGAACTTGCATTTTGGTTCCTTCATAGGATTTTATGTTTGTTTTTTGTTGAGCTATTATCAGTTTAATTTTGGTCGTTTGAATTGGTTTCAGATCAAATAATTAATTAAATTTGTGAAAGCAAAGCATATTAAACTCGAATTTGATAGGCATATTTGTTTAATAAACACAATGTTGTAGTGCTAGCTACTTGTGCTTCTCTCTGTTTGTCATCGAACACCCGCAAGGCAATTATTTCTTAAAGTAGCTTTTTAGTATCAAAATTTTACAAAAAAATTAATTTTTGTACGAAGCTGTTTTAAGAAGCAATAAGAAAATCATCCCATACGATGCTTTAATTTATTTATTATTAATTCCTTAATTACTTTTTTGCACTAATTAATCCTAGCAAGTTTTTTTAAGGAAAGTCCGTATAGGGCGAGATTTTACTTCATCGGTAAAAAGAGTACAATGTCTTTAAATGGAACAATAGCTAATTAGATGCTCAAAGAGCTACACTAAATGATGAAAAAAAAAAAACCTAAAAAGTCATTGATCCTTACCTACTTACAATGAAGATAAAGTAAAAAAACAAAAGGTTAGGAGCCTGACCCAAAAACTCCGACACCAGTAGTAGTAGGAGGGCAAAAATTCAAAATCATAGAGGTAAAAAATCTCACCTCAATAAGAAAGCATACAAAAGTAAATATAATTGACAATACATACTAGAAAGGGAGGGAAGAGAGGAAGCTTCACCAAATATGCAAAAACAGAAAATGCTGAAAAACAATCCAAGTAAAATAAAGGAAGCATGGCTGGATATAAATACTAAAGGAAAAACATCATTTTTCGGCGGCCATTTCAGTCAGAAAATGAAGAAAATCCATCGATAATTTACATTTCTAACGGATTTCCAAAGAAAGATTTTCCAATGAAAATTTTCAAGCCAGAAAAAAATCACCATCGAAAAAAAACCGCCGGAAATTGCTAAGGAAAAAAAATTGCTAGCGAGAGCGGGCAAGCTTCCATCACCACCGGCACATTAATAGAGGCAAATTCTCTCAAGCCATTATACAAAGTCCAAGAGAATTGGCAGCTAAAGCATCAGTTCTTAAAAATTTAAAAGCAAAGCCATAATTTAAATTACCTTCATAATCACAAATTATACCACCAAATTCATAGTTATAGAATAAAAAATAGTGCCATGAATGTTAAGCTTAAATTCACCCAATTGGGGCTTCAACCCCTTCACAACTCCCACTCTATGCAGAAAATTGTGAATAATATTGTCATTGTTAATGTTGAAGAAGGAGAGCCAGCTGTTCCTACCACTAAAATGTTTGGGAGATAACAGAATAGACTTAAAAAGTTGCTAAATTTTGAATTCAACATGCAAAGAACCCATTTGAAAACACATCTTAACACTCTTATGCTACAAAAAGTAGGAGCAACTATTTTTTTTGGGAAAATTTGGGGCAGAAGCCCATATCATTGCTAAAAGAAAGTTACAAGTAAGGAACAAAAACTATAATCCAAAACTTCACAGACAAAAGGAGATAATGGATTCTAATGAAAGAAAATTACAATTCACTGATATAAAACTAAAATGGAAAGGCCAAAGCCATGAAGGACTCAGAAAATGCTCAAAAATACGCGAAAGGGTCAAAAATTCTCGAGGAGCCAATGTTTGAGCCAAGCCCCTGATTTCCCAGAAGACCGTCCAAGGGGCGGCTGAAAAGATCAGCAATCATCATCATCCTTCCAAAATTATAGTCCCCAGCAAGCGGTTCCAGCATAAGGTGATACTGATCAGCAGAAAAATAAAAGTGCCCAGATTGGTCGAGTAAATAACAACAGCCAGCCAGCAAAACCGAATTGATGAAGAGAGCACATCCAGGTAGAAATAAACACAAAACCAGATACCAGCAAACCAGCATGATTGTTACAGCAAGGTCTCTTTGAATTTTTCCACCAATATCTCATAAGACTTCCACTTTTAATTTTTGCATGAATAGCAGAGGAAATAGTTGCTTTTATAGAATCAGAATTGTTCCAAGAGTTAGAAAATCTCCTCAAATTCCGTTCCCTCCACAAAAAATAAACCGCAGAAGAAATAGTGAGGTAACAAAAATTTTTATCAAAGGCATTGAAGCTGGGATAATTGTGTATGAAATCAAACACCTGATCTAACGTCGGCCTTAGATAAAAACAATTAAGGACAAGTAACAAGGAGGAGACAACAGAAAAGGTATAATCACAGGAAAAGTATAAATGTGAGTGAGTTTCGTCGTGAGCCAAACACAAACCACATAAAGGTGCCACCGGGATTCCTCTATAAATAAGAACATCAGCACACTTAAGCTTCTTAAGAATGACCATCCAACAGTAACAGGCATAATGAATGGCATGGCCTTAATGCCAAATGAACTTAAACCGATCAATCTTTGGCAAGTTGTTAAAAAACTGAGACTGAAAAAGCTTAAAACTGGGCTTAGAACAATCAGCACTGGCCATCAAGGGATGGTCAACAATATCAATTTTCAACAGTTTCTCTTTGATCTGCAGAGGCCAGCAATCAGGTAAACACCAATTCTCGTTAATAAAGAGGTCCTGTACCAAAGAGCCAGAGAATTGATTGCTAAAAAAGGAGTTAGCTAAAGAGTCTCCAAAAAACCACGGATCCCAGAAAAATGAGAAATTGCAGTTAGAGGCAATATAAAGGCAAACCGACTCTTTCACCCGAGAAGCAGTGGAGCAGACGAACTTCCATAATTTAGAAGCAGTAAGAGGAGGAGGCTTCCAAGGGGATTCATATTTAACTTTGCACCATTGACCAAGAATGGAATTAGAATTAAACATACGCCAAATGAAGGAACAAGCAACCCTATGATATAACGAATCAAAAGAGGGAAGACCAAGACCTCCTTTATCTTTAGGGGTAATAACAGCCTTCCAGGAAATAATATGCATTTTTTTGTCCTTGAGGTTGCCAAAAAATAGGAATTTGGAACACAACCTAGAAATAACTTTCTTGCAAGATTTAGGAATAATTGCTCACCTAATCCAGTAACCAATCGTATTGACAATGGTAAATTTGAGGAATTGAACCCAACCTGCAAAAGAAAGAAATTTAACTTTCCAATCCTCAAGTAGAGCAGAAATTCTGCTGATTAGGTGTTGGAAGTGAGTGAAATTAAGTCGGAGCAACTGTTGCAAATCTATTATTAAATAGCAGATTCTGCAGTCCATTTAATGCCACAGCCTTTTCATGACTGTTAATTGAACTAGACCTGTCAATATTGGACCCGACCCGAAAACCCGACCCGAACCCGAACCGGGTCGGGTTCGGGTTAGAGATTTCGACCCGTTTGTAAAACTGGGTCGGGTTCGGGTTGACCCGGAAACCCGAAATCGACCCGGTTTGACCCGTTTTTAATTAATTTTGGAAGATTTTAATGAATTTTTATGAAATAAGTAAATAATATTTCAAAAAATTATAAATATTATTGCCCAAATTAAATTAATCTTGATTTATTTTAAATTAATTGAAGTAAATCTACCCTTAATTTGATTTAAATTTAAATAAAATGAATTAAATAAAAAAAATTTAATTAAATATACCCGAAGCGGGTCGGGTCGGGTTGACCCGGACCCGAAGCGGGTCGGGTTCGGGTTCGGAAAACCGACCCGTTTGCAAAAACGGGTCGGGTCGGGTCGAACAGTGTCGGGTCAATTTCGGGTTGGACCCGAACCCGACCCGTGACCCGTTTTTGACAGGTCTAAATTGAACTTGCTTGAAGAAGGCAAGAGAAGGGTGCAAATTTTTATTGTGATGCCCTAGAATCTAAATTGAAGGAATCATTCTTTTAATTTTTTAATAAATAACAACAAGAACTATCTGATATTATCTATCAGTAATAAACAACAAAAATATATTTTATAATTTAAAACATCAATGTACACATTTGTTATCATTTTCCAAAAAATCATATATACTACTCAAAATCTATAAAATTATATCATAACTATTCTGTCTGAGTACAAAAGAATAATTAAAATAAAAAAATAGAATATGGAGAATCCTGACCACTTCACAATTTTTTTTATGTGAAGAAGAGAAAAAAAAGAGAAAGATCTTTGGGTCATATTTGTGTGTCGTTCCTATTACAATTTTGTTCTATTTATTAAAAGTGACTAATCTCTTGCTCTCATTTTCAATCGTTTGATTTCTATAAATTTTATATCTCTTAAGTCTGTCAAAATTGCTTATAATTCTTCCAATATAAGTGGCTAAACTGAATTTGCTACTGTTATTAAGCTCTAGTTAAATGACTAAAATGAAAAATAAATAGATTTCCTCCGATATAAATCCAGGGGCACTCAAAACCATTCATTGTTATTTATGTGTCATGTATTTTGATGACATATTAATTTACAGGCCAAATTTTATAAAGGAGCAGTGTAATTATCAAAATTAGTAGAATGATGTTGACCCCTATACCTCAGACCACGCGAGAAAGGGCTCAAACTGATAAATAAAGCAATATGTGCATTGATTAAACACATCACTTAAGGGGTCAAATGACCTCCAAATGCCAAATGGATGGTATCTTTGCGATCAAGACACTGAATTATGCTAGGTCGGGGCCTCTCGTAATTGAATCGGATGAGATTGGTCAAAAGAGACGACCGACACCCAAAATTAAAGCGCGAGGCTAATCAAACGATGTTGGATCAACAAACGGACTTCGTAATTATGTTCAAAACATTGCAAATACTCAAAAACTGCATTTTATTTGTTCAATTTGGATCATCCTAATGAGTGATATGAATTTCGAAACAACGCGTATTTTGAGGAAATCAGGCCTCGACGTTGCTCAGATGACGTCTGATCATGAAACGGACTATGTCGTTGCGTCCAGAACGTTCTCGACATTCAAAATATATATCTTCTGTGATTAATTGGAATCAATAGTATTGGTGACACGGATCCCAAGATAATAACACGCATATCGAGGAATTTGGCCCTCGATGTCGCCCAAATGATTTTAGATCGACAAATGGACAGTGTCATTGCATCTGGAACGTTGTCTACATTCAAAATATATATTTTATTTAATGAATTTGGATCGTCTGAGATGGTGGCGAATTTATATGCAATTCAAATATGATATAAAGGCCTGCGTTACGATGGAAACGAGGTCTCGAAGATGCTCAGACG